CGGCAGGGCATGCACGCTCGGTGCAGGCACCGGAATGCGCGACAGTTCATCCCAATCGGCCTCCATGGCCTTGACATCGCACCCGGCAAGGGTGTCGAACTCAAGATGGGTACGGTCTTCGAATTATTGCGGTGTCAAGAAGTTTCAGGCAAAGCGTTGGGTTTGTCCATTGGGGGTCAGGGCGAAAGCGGGCATCGTTCGGCGAAAGCGCGAGTGCGGGGAGAAGGTCTGGCTGGAAAAGGCGTGGTCTTCGAACTCCGGACCACCAAGCACAGGGACGGCAAGATTCACAAGCTGGCACCCACAAGAACAGTCCCAGGCTCTCGGCTCTCGTTTCTGGGAGCAACAGCAGACGAGACAAATGGTCTCTGGGGGAAGGGGTACCTTCCAGTCAGAGCTGCCGGCAATGGCTGATGAGGTACCGACGCATAATTTCACGTGACTTCAGCCCGAGCGGGACAAACATCCAGCACATCACGCCGTTTCTTCGTCACCGCCTACTGCATAACTACGTACTATGATTGCGATCCTCATACACATGATGTAGTTCTTGCTTAGTCGTGTTGTCTTCTATTTTTTTTTTTTTTTTTTTACAGATCTCGCTGTTTATAATTCAAATTCCGTCAATTTCTAGGGATGTGACAGTAGTCAGGATTATGCTCTTCCTTCAAAAAGCGAAGTACCTGTATAGCTAACATTTGATATATAGTGGCTCGACTGATGATATCAAATGATACAGATCGCCGAGTTGAAGTGAAAGTGCTAAGTAGTATGAACACTTACAATTCGAATGAAAAAGAAGAATCATATAATACCCATCAAATTACTAATCAGTTGACCGAACTCTATCACAAAGAGACATCATGAATCCGCTCGTTCCGTTACCTACCGCAAGTGCTCAGGACTTCAGTGGGGTAAGTATGGGATCGCCATGATAACAAAGAAAACCACTATAACTACTTGCCAAGCCAATGACCAAACCGCTGCCTACACCTCATCCCCATACCTCCTCATCTTGACTACACACCCTTCTCCGCATGAAAGAACCAATGTAAGAACCTGCCTCTCCTCGCCGACTCTCTTCTCCATCCTATACCCCTCCGCCTGCTCGATAGCTTCAAAAGTCTGCAGCAATCGCACGATGGTGTAACCAACCTCCAGCAACGCAAATTCCTGTCCTAAGCAAACTCTTGGTCCACCGTTAAACGGCAAATACCCCCAGCCTACATCCTTCAGCGCATCGTTCTCCCACCGCTCGGGTCGAAATTCGTCTGCGTCGGCGCCGTAGATATCCCTACGCCGGTGCATCGCATAGACACAGTATCCTACGGCCTCGCCTTTTCTGACGAGAATTGGTGCGGTGCCTGCTGGCCCGCCGCCTGTAGGGAGGGTTGTGGTTTTGGTGGCGGCGCGCGAGTTTATGGGGACGGAGGGGTAGAGGCGCAAGACTAGGACGTTAATGAGTAAGGGTAACGCGATTGGCTTGGGTATTTGAGGTTGAAGTACCTTCCTTGATGACCAGGGAGAGATACGCAAGTGACTTGACCTGGGTTATAGTAGGGGTCGGCGACCTAAGTCCAATCCCGACTGTATCACTGATTTCAGCCCGCAATTTGAAGAGGACGTGAGGATGCTGGACAAGTAGACGTCTCAATTTGTGGCAAGAGTCAGCTTTCCCGGAAACTAATATCGCTACATTGGCCCTTACAGTGTCCAAGTGAGGCAACAAGCCGTAGTGTCCCTCCCGGCCAACAGGATATTTAGGCACTGATCCCGAAGCACATCCAGGTTCCGCGTCTCCTCAATCAAAGCATCAATAAATATGTAAGGCTCTCTCTTGATGCCCGGAATTTTGTTCGTAGCCGATCCCAAGGCCTCCTGTACAGCACGGTCCACAAATTCATGGCAAGTCTTACATGCTTTACGAAAAGTTCTCCCACCCAGAAGCCAGTAGAAGTTACCCAATCGTCCGCGTTTGGCCAAGTACTCCTGTCCAAGATTGAAAGCGTTCGCAAAGTCCGATTCCTGGTCTGTGATGCCCTCTGATTGGAGAGATGACAGGTATTGTCCAAACAACAGAAAGAGGGTAGTTTCAAAAGTGAGGCGAAAGAAGAGCGGTTGTAGATCGACGGCGTTTTCATTGGGGATGCCGGAGATGAGGTTGTCTACGGCACTGCAGATTTGCTTAAAATTGGCGATTCTGTTCTTCATGAATTGTGGGCGTAACAGCTCGCGCGAGTGCTGCCAATGTGCGCCATCTTGAGTGAATATCCCACTCCCCAACAAGGGGTAGAAAGTTGGGGGTCGCAATCCGAGTCCAAAATCTGAAGTGCCATTGATCAGTAGTAGCAAGAAGGTTCGGTGTCAGAGGTATAGCACTGACCGGCAAACTGGGTCGATAGAAGAGCCTGTATGTTTTGAGGGTCGCTAGTGTCAACTCCTCGGGAGAAAAGGAGATTTTGTTCGAACGTTGTGCCAGACTCAGCAACGATATCGAGAAAGAACTGGAGAATCTGCTGTCTACGGTCATGGCGGAATGCTTGAACAAGTAGATCTAGGCCCAGCGGCCAGGCCGAGTTCCATTGTCTGAGTGGCAGACACCCATTTGCGGCGGCGATTTGGTTGTTAGCCTAAAATACGGGTTAGATGGCAGGAAATCCAATGCTGACAGCGTTGCTAAATAGCGACTCATACTCGTAGTTCTCGTTGCAGGGTAATGAATCTGTAGGCAAGCGCGCATATTAACGTTCCCACAATGAGGATGGCAGCTGATGAACTGAGAAATGCCATGTGGATTGCTTGAAGATGAAAATTGAAGGATCCTAAAATCAAGTACCGGGTAGTCAAGCTTTAAAGTACTCATATATGACCCTCCCCACCTACGCTGTCGTTGCATCTGTAAGATGATTCAGGGGCAGGGCGCGTACGCCTAGGCAGTCCAGGTTGCACAACTTCAAACTCATGAGAGGATGACTCCTGGCAGCGCCACCATAGGGGAGAGAAGTGGGGTAGATGGTTGTCTAAACCCGAAGACCAAACATAGTTTCATTGTTCATTTTCGAAGGCCGCGTCCCGCCTGCCTTACCACTGTGTTTACGCACAACGTCAGTGGCTGGCTTTGACATGTCGAGAGTGTGGTACGCGCTTGGGGGAACTTACGAGAAAAGAAGAACTATGCGAGCCTTTGGGCATGGTGCAACAAGTGTTTAGGATGGATAAAAAATGTTCTTGGTCAACACACCCCGAGGCAAAAACAATCCCACGCAGCATTCCATTGCAGAGTGCAACCTCAGTGTCAGCCACATAGGGACCCTTAAGGGAAAGGTTTCACTAGGAACAATCCATACCAACTAATCTAGATTTGCCAAGGCTAATTTAACACTCCTTGATGAGATGGAAAGGCTATGACAACTTAGTTAATCCAAGGCAGGTCTTCATCGGAGCCAGCTGGACGCAGTGATCGAGCTTGCGAGTTGCTATAAGATTCAGGGGAGGTTTGATGAAAGTATTCGGTACTACGACGAGGCTACTGAGTGGTTGAAAAAGATCGGTGTGACGCAGCATCCGCTGGAGAGAGAGCTGCGGGCCTAGGAAGAAGAGACCGTTGCGATGGGAGAATAGGAATCCACCGTTGTGTTCAACAGATAGAAATCATGCGCTCTCGTGGTAGTCTCCTAGTATCCCAGGGATGGGCACGATGGGCTTTTCATGTGGTAGGCTGCTATTCTATCCCGTACCCAACCAACTTGTACGCTTCGTTCCTGAATATTACTATCTTTAGTATGATGCTTCTCAAGTTTACAATCTGGAATATATTTAGCGAAATTTCGTCTCTTCCCTAGTAATTTGGATGTTTCTGCTAGCGGCTGCAATAATCAAATGTTGAGTGACACCAGCAGTGTCCTGTGCATGAAGTCCGAGGTCAACCTGGACTATAGCGGAGATAAGCAATATGAGAAGAAGCAAGCCTTAACGTAACCGGACAACGAAGCGGCGCGACAACGAGCCGTCGTTTTTCTATATAACTACTACTATAAAAATTGAAACTTCATCAATTATTTAGATATTCAGATCTAAGAATAACTAAATAGTAGAGTAAGTTATATAGAACTAATATTAGAAGATTCTATTCTAAATTTTAATAAAATTACTTTATAATATAGTATAGAGTACAGTACTATTCATAATTAAGCTAGCTTTAGTAGACTGTAAGCGGTATGTTCATTATATTATAAAAACATGTATAAAGATTTAATATTTATATATCTTTATATTTAATATATCTTTTGAAGGATTTTATAAGTAATTTATTATTAGTTTATATATAAGAATCTATATATTCTATTCAATTCATCTTATCAACAAAAATGGTAGAGTTCTAATTTTTATAGTAATAGTTATATGGGAAAATGACGGCTCGTTGTCGCGCTGCTTCGTTGTCCGGTTACGTTATCTCGACATAGCTCTTTAACTCTAGGGCATAGCCCGGGCTCTTAGGTCCCACTGCTAGATTGCCTAGCTCCGCGCCACAACCCCCTAACTCTATGGACCTTCCCGGGGGCCTTGAGTACATTCAAGACATCATCCTACGCATGTAAACATGACAGGTGTTTGGAATCATTAGATAGTAGACAGCTCTATGCTTGCTACTTGGCTAAATTCACAGATAGTCTGTACTTACAGCTCGCCGAGGAAAGGTGGGCCTCATCGAGGCCAAGCTATGAAAGGAAAAACTTGGTAAACCGATCGCCTCTGGCACTAAAATGCAAAGTGGGAACGCTTTTGTGCTTTGAAATTACCCGACTCATATCTTCTAAAAAGCCACTATTAGGATACTAGTTGGTTCCTGACTATGCCCTTCGGTGGTCCGGCGGCTTTTGTTGGAGAACATGACGCCGCAGGGACCGACCGCTCCACCATTTTCATGGACGATATAATGACTACATGGTAACCCGGCCACGAAGGTGTTATTTCACTTCACTCAGTAGTAAAAGAGCCAAATGCGCGGGCTTGGGACCATGCAAGCTGTCCTGTGCAGCCTGGCCTTCATGGTTGGAGTTGCGGCCAAGGAAGATCCGGACTATAACCCATCCTTGAACTTTCGACCCAACAATGTGACCCTCAGCATTCTCGACTACTGGGTGGGATCGTAAGTTGTTCGATGACACAGATATTGCATCGATGCTGACTGCGCAGATACTATAACGGTACCACAGATGTGGAATTTTCGTTTTACACCGGGCTGGCTTCGAATTGGAGTTTCCATTGCCCCAATCTCGTCAACACAACGGTTACCAAACAGTACAATTCTACCGTGCTGGCCCTTACAGAGCCCAGCACCTATAATGTTGGCTACGACCCAGTGAATGCTTTCTTCACTATGTGGTCCAACAACTTCAATTTCTCCACATTACCTGGTCCAAGCTGGGATGGATTACAAGAAGACGCATCGTTGAAGTTCGCTATGTTTTCGTCGGAGTTAGTGATCCCACCAAAATCAGAAGAATCTCAGCTGACACTCCCTAGTCCTACCTACCAGGTGGACGGCAAGGCGGTTAACAACTTCAACTGGACACTCAATCCAACCCAAGGCCCACCGTACAGTTTATCAAGTACCCTCACAGAGTATGACCCACAAGGGGGCTGGGGCTCCAACTTGGCCAGTTGCAACGGAAGTGACCCCATGGAGTGGAACTTATTTCCGGCTCCCTGGACTGTCAATGGAAATGGACTTTACCTGCCTGATCCGGTGCTGGATCTTCAATTTGATGGGAAAACCGCTAACCTCTCCTTGAATGGCTATTTCATCGGCTATGACACGGTTAAGGAAGGTACAATGACTTCTACTGATGGGATGCTTGTAGTAGGAGGGATGAAAGTATCCTTTTTGGGCGTCCTTGATGCCTATCATTCAGATGTCCTAGCCAACAACACTGCTACACCGACTTGGCTGCGCACTGTGGGATTTCAAAATGATTCCTTGAATGTTGGGTACACCAGCACAGCAAGCAATGTATCAAGGGGAAAATTGGTATTGGCTACTACGGTTGCCCTGACAGTTATAATAGGATTTGTCTAGACGGAAGCTATCGCTCTGGCAGATTCGTCGCGGCTACAGAGGTGCTTAAGCATGCACGGCAGTGGGAGGATATTTTTTTCTGTATGGATGGATCTGGCTCAAATGGTATCAATGAATTCGCGATAAATATGTAAATGCTTACTTCGAATCATTGAGCTTAAGTGTCAGCTCAAGTGCAGGTGTTCTCGCTTTAGACGACTGCATAGAAGACAAGATACTGCAGCCATACGCCTATCTCGAATAGCCAAGTATCTATATAGCTAGCATGTCATACAATTGGCTCAATTGAATCACATACCGTGAAACGGCATTGGGTCGAAAGGGCAGTAAATCACCTCAATATATTGTACCTTCCTGTCTGAGACGAATGTGAGCTTAGGTAGTACCTGGCTCTTCTCCCTCATATTTCTTATCTTTCCCTCTGTTCCTCTAGTCAGCAGTTTTCTGGATGCGTAGTCCGAGGTCAATATGGGAAATGTCGGAGATAAGTAACTGTTGCGTATTAGTTCCAGGGTCCGGCTGTGCCCGGGCTCGTGGGCCCCACTGCTAGGACTGTCTAGCCCAGCGCCACAGCCCCTATTGATGCTATACGGGCATTGTATGGCATGGTAAATCAAAGTGAATTTCAAGAATTCTAATATAAAGCGGGCAGCTCCTTATATTGGATGAAATATTAATGGCTCTAGTGCCAAATAAGCACTTTGGTTCGGTCCTACTGTACCATTCGGTGGCCCGGCGGCTAATCATCGGAGAAAGTTTGATCGCACATCACTTCAGACTTATTCTAAGTGCTCATTTGATAGCCTGGTCGAGGATTATGTGAGAAGCCTCGGCAGGTAAGCACATCACCTGACCTCCTGTCTTTGTAGTCTTGTTCTACACTTCACCTCCTCAATTTATTATTCTTATTAGACTTGACGCGCTGGCTGCATCAAACCATCAACAATCCCATGTTCATGACTTGCTGCTCTGGGTATCTGGCCCAATGAGAGAATTGTAGCCACGGCACAATGCTAAATTCGCAGCTCGGGAATCCAGTCGCTCCACTGTTGCAACCACACCTTCATCAACGATGCGTCCACCGGACCCAACGTACGCAAAGCTGCACTATGCTTCTGAGCGTTGGTGGTATCCGCAGGAGGACGTATCCAATCACCAGAATCCGCCAGTGACCTGAAAAAGCCTAAGAGCGACGCCGCAGGGATTTCCCACAAAGCCTCCTCATTGAGTTTCGGGTCAGATACACGGTTAGTCAGGTTCTGCACCCATTCCTTGAGCGGAATAATCTTGGAGGAACAGGCTTCGCTTATGATCTTTGCCAATGGCCCCCAGTTACTAAGCTGTGGGTTTGTAATATGATAGACCTCTGCGTTGTTCGACCCGGTGGAAGCTAACTGATTATTATGTCCCCCGCAGGCGATCTGAACAATACTTCGAGCAGCGATATCCTATGAAGTCAGTACACTACGGCTTTATCAAAGAACCATCTCGAGTAGTTCACTTACAATGGGCACCCAATCCACTGGCATTGACCCAATGCTGTCAGGCAATTCTTTCATCGTCTGAGATGTTCGTACCAGTGCCGGAAACCAGTCTCGTGTCGTCCACATACCTGCCTCAGCATCTATGGGTCCTCCCAGTTGACCAACACGGTGAACAGCAATTTTCTGTTTAGTGTCCTTCGCGACGAGGTCACAGAGAACTTCTGCTGCGTATTTCGATTCTGCATAGCCTTGACTGAGCACTGTTGACGGCCCATGCAGTGTTTCTGCAATGTGATCAGTTTCAGGCACAATGGTAGGGCGACCACTAACGGCCGCGATGGAAGAAATGAAATGGAATGCGGCCTGGCGAGGTGAGCCCTTGATTAAGTTGAGAAGCCGTCCCGTCCCTTCCAGCTGAGAACGGAAACTGGACAGTGGCAGATTGAAATTCACCATCCAAGCATTATGGAATACAATATCCACTCGCTCTCGCAAGTAACTGTATTCATCCGCAGTTAGCCCGAGTCTCTCTTGGCTCAAGTCAGCCTGCCAGAACTTGACTCGAGAAGTATCCACAAGCCAGCCATCAGCTAACCGCTTCTCACGAAATCTAGCGAGCTGTCGGCTTCCCGCATCTTCCGAACGATTGAGGCAATATACCTGTGCAATAGTCGGATCCTGCAGCAGCTCCTCTAGAAGATAGCTGCCAAGCTCGCCAGTCGAACCAGTCAGAAGGACCGTCTTTCCGCTAAGCTGGAGGTTCTGTGCCTGCTGCCAGATTGCATGCGTCAATTGATGCTCTTGTGGCCAGAAGCTCGATGTGTGCTTCTCGCCTTCCGCTTCAAGATGACCATGTAGTTGTTGGAAAAGCGTACTTGTGAGACGCCGGACCGTGGCTTGCTCATAGATGACGGCACTGGTCCACAAGGCAGCTATTTGCTTAGATTGACGCATGCGATCGGCCGCATCTTGCAGTGCCTGCGCGAGTCGAACTACCTGAAGAGAATCCATCCCTAGAGTGACAATATCGGCATCTAGATCCACAGAGATCCCACCCAAGATCCGAGAAACAGCCTCTTGTAGCCACAGCTCGATGCCTTCCATAGTCGTCTCTTGCAGTTTTTCCACGTCATTAATAGAGCCTTCGTTACCTGTTGCATAACTGTATAATTTATTGATAACATCCTCATAGAGCTGAGCCGTTTCTCGCCGGCGAAGTGACCCCTTGGGGGCCAGCGCAAATGGCCGATCGCGAGAAGCAACAGCGATACGGTTGTGATGGATTTGTCCATGGGCAGGCAACAAGCCGTTGGCATCTCTCACGAGGGGCTCCAGAGCCTGCTTCAGCCATTGTGGGGTCCATGTCTCCGGGAGCTCATCCCATAGAGGTTGAACTAGCAAGGCCACTTGGAATCGATTCTGGCCGAAAATAGCAGCACGATGAACCAAGGAATGGGATTCAAGGAGGTGCTCGGCATCAATAGGGTTCAGCTTTTCGCCGTTGTTTAGAACGATTATGTCATCTGCCCTTCCCTTTGATCGCCACAGGTGCGGTTTTGTTGGATGAGGTTCAAAAAGATCACCCGTTCGATATTCGCTAAGATTTGGAAAGGCGTGAAAAATGGCATGATACCGACGGGAGGAAGGTCGAGGGATAACTAACTCCCACAGTCCATCACCGACTTCCTCCATGCGATGTTCGAAGGCGGGATTCCATTCGAAACAATCCCAGTCCGCGGGGTCTTCACACAGAAGTGTCGGTGTGTAACCGGTCTCACTGCTACCCATCAACGTTTGCAGGCGAAAGTGGGAAGAAATTGCGTTTCCCGTGGCGCTTGACAGTGGTGCACCGCCGAAGTTCACTGCCGAAAAGCCCTGCATCGCCTGTCGCCCCTTCTCAGATGACCAAAGATCCTGCAACGCAAACGGAGCGATTAGACACCATCGAGGTGGATTGGGAGTTGCCATAATCCGCGAGAAGAGATCTGGGGTCAAAGGTCGATCCGGGGATAGTAGAAAAGGTGTCTCGTAAAATATGCACTCAAAAACGCATACTATTCCAATAAAGTGGAATAATGGTCCATGGCAGAATCGCATCTCACCCTTGTGTCGCAGAAACAACTGGGCGGTTTCACGACTCTGAGGCACGGGAAGCGTTTGCATCTGATCCATCGTTGCCAGATATCCATGGGTCAGAGTTACCGGTTTGGGAAGACCCGTAGTCCCCGAGCTGTGGATGATGATAGCTGGGCGGTCTTCTATGTCTGCAAAATTCTCTTGGTGGGGATACGGCTCGACAGGAGATGCTGCGAAGACATCCCAGACGGGATCCATACGCCATCGTTCCAACCCGAGATCAGAGCAAGCGACTTCAACCTGGTCAACAACTTTCTTTAGCTGGGGTCGCTCGCTACCGTCCACAAGCACCGAGCAATCCGTCTTCGACAGCAAATGATGAAAGGCTGCCTGTGAGTTGCGAGTGGATAGAAGTAGCGCCTAAGCCAATCAGTCAGAAATAAGCATCGATATTGTGGGACAGGAACCTCCAGCCAGGAATGTGAGATGGCCATACCGCATGGCCTATCTTCATGCAAGCTAGCTCAAAAACCAAGTATCGCAAGTCATTCGTTCCAATATAGGCAAGAATCTGCTGCTTTTTTCCGGGGAGCCTGCTGTCAATCCACCACGCTACACGGTTCACAGCAGCAGACACCTGCTGGAACGTTATACAACGCCATTCACAATCCGCCTCCTGGGAGCTGGGGTGCAGACAGTACAAGCGATCAGGCTGATCCTTCGCTTGCTGGTCTAGCAGCTGCGTCAAAAGCCGTCCTGAAACATCAGCGGACCCCATATTGCACTCAACACTCGATCCTATATTGCTGGTAGTGCGGTCGTTGTGAGAGAGAATCCTAGGCTTCTTTATACATTTGAACACCCCACTCCATCATTCCGGAGAAGGAGACCATAGGTACGTAAGTTACATAACCCGTGGTATAGGCTTGACGATCACAAAGTCCAGATGGCGGCAGCCTACATCCCTTGCTGTACGAGAAACGTTCTTTCTACGATCTGCCAATCATCCCTATCCTTTAGTCACAGTGATGATCCTTCAGACCTGCATATGAGAGGTATGACTGACGTCAAGACTTTCCTTTCTCGAGTTCTTGCGACTTGCTCCAGGCTTCTATAACATGCAACGCTGGCGTAGCATACATGCACGCAAGTTGGTGTCACTATGGCAACTTTGAAGAGCCCAATGGTAAAAACATGACGAACTACGACTAGAACTCATATGATTACGTCACCAGAATAGTAGCGTAATCGCATCTCGATCATTCTCATGCGTGTACAAGGCGGCAGATAGATGGGCGAATCATGCATTAGTGTGTTGATAACTGGCTCTGCGCTACAACCCATTCCATGGCAGACAGCATTTGCTTTATCTCTGGCCCTGATCGCGGGATGTTATGACCAGCCGAATGTTTGATTGACTTCTGAGTTTTGGAGTCGCAGAGAGACTCGACGAGAAAGCCACAATCATCCAACCCCGGTATATCTTCCTTCCCACGCAGGTGGACAGACGGAAGTGTTATACGTGTTGGTATCACATCTGGATGCAGGGCACATGGGACGAGATCAAGCGGGCGATCGAGGAAAAATGATACCGGCTCGCGTGTCATAGGCTTGGTTCCCTTAATCACCTTCACAAAACTCTCAACCACAGAACGAACTGGTTCCGGAAGTTGCGCAATCTGTTCGTCCTGCCCAGAGCGGAGACGTTGCTGATCGGCTGTTGAAAGAGAACCGATAACAGACTGACAATAAACTTCATCCGCAGCGCATGGAATCGTTGGCGAATAGAATATTGCGAAGCGAAAAGGCAGGGGCTCATCTGGATACGCCGTTTTATGCTCGAGCAGGAACGAAATCGAGATTGCAGCGCCTTGACTGAATCCCAAGACCCCGTCAAAAGGACCATGCTCGTCAATGGCCTCTTCGATCATGGCATGGGCTGCATCGATTTCCCCTGCATCAAACGATCGCGCCCAGCAGTAGTACGGAGGTGGGAAGGTGCTCCCAATGCCTAATTTCAGTTGGTGAAGCTCATTGTTAGCAAGTAGTGGCGTGCGTTAAATGACCGACAACCATACCTGGCGCAGGCGGGCATTCAACTTCAGCTGAGAGAAAATGAAACTCCCAGCTCGGGTCAGCATCTCGCATCAACCCCGAAAGTTGAAATCGCAGAATATCCGGCCCCGTGCCGTAGCCATGAAGGCAAAGGATTTTCATTCTGTTTGCTGCTTTTGGCTTGGTATTCTCACAGTATAGGATGCGGTTGGATACGGTTGGACAAAGCCCAGTAAGGCTGTTTCGAGTCGCATCATGCCGTTCGCCCTACCAATGGACTTTAAATGGCTCCAAGCAACCAGTACAATGGCAGAAACCAGCATCCATAGTAAGCTATCTTACCTATCAAAGATGTCCTTGCAGAGGCTGACGTTATCTATGATGTGGGTAGCGGGGTCGGCAGGGAGATGCGTGATCCACTTTCATCGAAAGTATGCAGGATTCCCATACTGTTCACAAGTAATAGGCAAACCATACTTGGAGAAAGTTAACAGCGACGCTGATTATCGTTTCACGACGCCATAAGGTGACACGAACGTTGTCGATCCCAGCGGTATGACTAGAACCCACCACGTAAAATATCGACTGAATTAGTGGCATTCCCCACGACCTACTGATGATGATAAAGGCCGAGGCAAGTGATCCGGTATGTTATCACTAGACTAACTTTATCTCGCTGTTCTGCGCGAATTCAAGGATGTTGCCGGTACAGGAAGCCAATGCATCGATCCAAATAAGTTCAATCATCTTCCTGACAAGGGCGCTCACGGGTACTTGGCCCTTGCGCGCGGTCTCCACTAGTTGGAATTCTGATGAAAAAGCTCCGGTGGCTCTTATTGGTCCATTGTCCGTATAGTCTACTAAGAATCGCTATTTATCCAATGAAATTGCGGTATGTCCATCTACATGACGATCGTGAAAGACATGGATGCAGGTGAACATCGGGAAATACTATTCCTGTCTGATGGACGGACCCGCTGTTGTCGTTCCGCACGGCTTGATCCATTCCTCAACCCCCCTTGTACAACATCAATCACTAAAATGGCAGGTGGTTGACCTCATGGCTTAACAAAAATTTCCAGCCTCGCAGTTTCAAGCAGTTTCATCGACCTTATACACCAGCTTTGAGGCCCGCACCTTGCCTTGCCGCAGCCAATCCAACCCCGAAGCAATCCCGGCTAGGCCTCCTGGCTTGACCTGGAACCGTTGGGAGGTGACCTGACGGCTCTGCAAAAGGACTTCGACGGTATTCGCCCATTGCGCTCCAAATGAGAGATTTTCTGGCTGGGCCTGGACTTCTTTGCCTCCCATCACATATGGCTCTCCAATCATATCGTATGCCATGGAAACATGCGTATCGACATCGCCTCGCGGGCATCGTACGTCTAGCAGTGCATTGTAACAGCCCCCGGAGGATGAAATGGCAGCGGCACAGATAGCAGCCGTTTGGTTAGTGGAAATTGTATCGAAAGCTAGCTCGAGGGTGTCATCGGTAAACTCACGGATCCGGTCACCTACGTGAGGATCGTGATAGTCAAAGACGGCATCCGCACCCAGTTCATGCATCCAGGCACGATTAACTTCTGAGCACGTTGTGACGACGCGCAGCCCAGATAGCTTTGCAAATTGGATCGCGAGGGAACCTGTTGACGTTGCACCACCGTAGATCAGGATGCTAGGGATGTCCTCATCATTTCCCTTCTCGTCTCTCTGCATATCCGCTATCTCATCATCACATGCCATTCCAGGGCCAGGGAGTTGCATGGACTGATAAAGATTCTGGCCGATAGTCATCATGCCAACACCCAAGAAAGCGGCTCCGTCAATGCTCATCCATTTTGGCACCCTGAATTGTATGTCCCCTTTCGCGATGACATACTGCGCAAATGCACCTCCATGAGTCTGCTTCACGTTACACCCGTGCACAAAGCCGGCCACGCGGTCCCCTTTCTTCCAAGGCTTCCTGACTCGTGGCCCGATAGCCTCCACGACACCGGCGTAGTCACAGCCGACGATGGTTCCTGTGCAGGTGTCGAAGTCAACGTGCTTCCAGTCCGTTGGGTTCAAAGCCACTATATTCACTTCGTTAACAACTTGCGCCCGGGTACATGAGATCAAAACTCCACTTACCTGCTTGTGTCTTCACCAGGATATAATCATCAGGCAAAGCGGGTATCGGCACATCATCGGCCAAAGTAACTTGACCGCGCTCTCGGACAATGACAGCGCGCTGAACGGCCATGATAATTGATCCTAAAGGGCGTCCACTGGCAATGGCAAACTCAAAAGTCTAACGCAAGAGCGGGTTGGAATGGATTCGAGACCCTGATTTAGATTCGAGAACTATCAAGTGAGCATATCAGCCTACAGTCTTATCCCTTCTATATAGCAACCGATTCCATGGATCTTCATGGCCCGATAAGGAAGTCCCCTACCAAGAAATTCACACAATAACGATGACTGTGCCCTGCCTTGATGGAGTAACGAAGATCAAACATAGTTTATGACCTAAAGGATGGATACAGGGCTATAGCTAGCAGTCCTTGCGTCATTTGTCGTTCAGTTACCTTTCTTGGGATCTTGCATTACATGCCTGAATGTTTCTAGATTCCGCGGCCATCCTAACAGCAGCTAGCCATAACGTCACATTTCGAAGCCAAATTTGAGGATGAAGTATATCACGAATCAGATCAATGAATAATCGAGCTGATAGTCGAAGGCTAAGCTGTTAAAAGGAAGGCCGGGAGACCATATTGACTCACTTGAGATCAGATTGAAGAAACTATCTTGCAACATCAGCCACAATGGAAGAACAAGCCAAAGACACATCTGGCCCAGAGCCAATTGCAATCATTGGTATGGGATGTCGCTTTGCCGGCGAAGCGTCTTCTGTTGAAGGATTTTGGGACATGCTTCGCCTAGGTCGAAAGGAGCATGGGCGTGTTCCTACTAGTCGTTATCAAGCCTCAGCCTGGGAACATCCCAGTCACGAGCGCAAAGGGGCTGTATGTTCACCAATTATGACAACCGATTACTGCTGGACTTAGTCACGGACTTACAATCTATCATTAGATCAATCACGATAGCGGCTTCTTTCTAGCCGAGGATCCATCCCGCTTCGATGCACCCTTCTTTTCCATCACATCCAAGGAGGCTGCAGGCATGGATCCTGTTCAGCGCATCCTGCTCGAAGTGGCGTATGAAGCTTTTGAGAATGGTAACTAGATCCTTAACAAAGTCTGAGGAAATGATTAACTGAAATATGACCCCAGGAGGCGTGCCGATGGAATCACTACCCGGTAGTACTACCGGTGTCTATAGCGGATGCATGACCAATGACTACGAGCTGCTGTCAACTCGGGATATCATGGATATGCCACACAACTCGGCCACGGGTAATGGGAGAACTATGTTGGCTAACCGCCTTTCATGGTTCTTTGATCTTCGTGGTCCCAGCATCATGCTGGACACGGCCTGTTCGTCCAGCTTGACGGCGCTGCATCTGGCTACCCAGGCACTACGGGCAGGCGAATGTAGCCAGGTAAGAGAGCCTTCATATATGATCCGAGGATAATAACCGATTATTGTAGGCGCTGGTCACCGGAGCAAGTCTGATATTGCATCCGAATTTTACCCAGCGGCTGTCGTACATGCATATGCTCAGTGCCGATGGTATCAGTCACTCTTTTGATAGTAAAGCTAATGGGTATGGTAGGGGTGAGGGATTCGGTGCAATCTTGCTGAAACCCTTGTCCAAGGCCATGGCAGACGGTGACGCGATCAGAGCAATCGTTCGTGCTACTGGCTCTAATCAGGATGGACGTACTCCGGGAATCACCATGCCGAATCCAACCGCCCAGGCTGATTTGATCAGATCAACCTATTCTCAAGCTCAATTATCGATGGGAGATACGTCTTATTTTGAAGCCCATGGAACTGGGACAGCAATTGGTGTTAGTATGAAGTTCAATGTTGCGAAAAAAATACTAAAAGCGTCATTAGGATCCTACTGAATTATCTGCCATCGGAGCAAGCTTTGGTGCCGAACGAAAGCCAGGCGATGAGCCTGTTTACGTCGGATCTGTCAAAAGCAACCTAGGACATACCGAGGGTGCTGCCGGCGTAGCCAGCATTATCAAGGTGGTTCTTTGCTTAGAAAAGGGGATGCTCGTTCCTAACGCAGGCTTCTCGAACTTGAACCCTAAGATCCGACTGGAGGAATGGAGCTTGCGCTTAAGCAACACCACCGCACCGTGGCCACCTCATCTGCCGCAACGTGCAAGCATCAACTCTTTTGGCTTTGGGGGTGCAAACGCTCATGCTATTCTTGAGAGCACAGCGCAGTACCTTGGTAAGGCGCAAACTTCGTCCGACACCACAGAAGGGATAACCCAAGTCGTTGTGGTCTCTACGCATGACCAATCTGGGTTAGACCGCACGGCGGACAAGTGGAAGAACTTCCTCGATTCAACCGCATATGGCAAAAGAAAAGGCATTTCATTGCCAAATGTAGCACATACTATGGCTACACGGCGATCCCAGCTCCCGTTTCGCAGCTTCGCCGTGGTTGATTCGCTAGCAGAGCTACAAGATGTGATGGCCGCGGGCTTGCCTACTTTCCCTCGAGCCAGCCGTAAGAACCAGACGCACCTCGCGTTCGTTTTCACGGGTCAAGGTGCCCAGTGGCCACGTATGGGTGTCCAGCTATTAGCAAACCCAGTGTTTGCGGCCAGTATAGAACGCAGTCAGCAGGTGCTGCGGAGTTTTGACTGCCCGTGGGATTTACTCGCGGAGATCCGTGCGGATTCAACGACTAGCCGCATCAATCGACCAGATCGCAGTCAGCCCTCTTGTTGCGCTTTACAGATTGCCCTGGTAGACATGCTTCGCAGCTGGGGCGTGACTCCTAAGGCAGTGGTAGGCCATTCCAGTGGTGAAGTTGGTATGTCTCTCTCACTTTGTCCGGTTGCTCTCCACGAGATGACTTACCTGTGCTCTAGGGGCTGCCTATGCGGCCGGCTACTTGACCCACGAGGATGCCATTCGTGTCACGTATTTCCGCGGTGTGCTATCACAACGGATTGCTGAAAGTGGGAGCCGCGGTGGTATGCTCGCTGCTGGTATTTCTGCCGCTGATGTGCAGGGATATTTGCAGACCCTACCCCCGGAGTCCGTGGTAATAGCTTGTGTGAACAGCCCATCGAGTGTCACTCTTTCCGGCAACATTGACGAAATAAATCTGCTTGAGGGGCGTTTGCAAGCAGACGGTCGTTTTGCGCGCAAGCTGCGCGTAGACACTGCCTACCACTCACCGCACATGAGAGTGTTGGCTGATGACTATAAAGCAGCCATTGAATCTATTCAGCCGACCGACAGGTACAATGGATCCATAGCTATGTTCTCGTCTGTCAACAAAGAGCTCTTGCAGCCAGCAGATCTAGACGCGGCATACTGGGTGCGCAACCTGGTCAGCCCAGTTGAGTTTGCTGCGGCAGTCACCAAAATTGTTACCATGGCCGAGGCCGGTAAAGGACGAGGGAGACGGCGAGTAGTTCCAGTCAAGTGGGCAGGCTTCTTGGAAATTGGACCACATGAAGCTCTAAAGGGGCCGTTCAATCAGACCCTGCAGGAAGCCAATGCTGATTTGGCTTCCATTCCTTACAGAAGTCTAGTGCTGCGCAAGCAGAACTCTCGGCAAACCGCCCTTCAAGCTGCCGGTCTCTTGTGGTGCTTGGGCTATGCGATCGACCTAGATACAGCAAACCAAAGCTTTCTGGACGGCATAAGGCCACAAGTGAGCCGAGACCTTCCATCTTACGCATGGAACCATCAGTCCAGCTTCTGGCATGAGCCATTGGAGTCAGCCCGGCTGCGACAGCGCACAGAACCCCGTCACGACCTCCTCGGTATACCTTGGGACTACCAGAATGATCTGGAGCCGCGGTGGCGTAATTTCCTCCGGGTTTCGGAACTGCCCTGGCTTGCGGATCATGTGGTGGCTGGCTCTATAGTATATCCAGCAGCTGGCATGGTGTCCATGGTTGCAGAGGCAGCCCGTCAGCTTTCAGACACTACGAAGTGGTTAGAGGGGATTGAATTCCATGATCTTGACTTTTTCCGGGGAGTTGTAATTCCCCCAGACGAACGGGGTCTGGAAGTGGTTCTCCATGTGGCACCGCATCGCGGCATGAATGGATGGTATGAATTCGGCATTTTCTCCTTGCCTGAGAATTCATCCTGGGTCCAGCATGCGAAAGGGACCTTTGCTCCACAGTATGCTGATGAAGATGGGGTGGGATGTGCTGCAGACTGGCAGAGCACCGTACAACGAGTGCGACAGACGCAAGCTGTGGCAAAGAAGGCTGAGATCGAGGCCGTCTATGAATGGCTCTCAGAAACCGGGGGCGTCAGTCTGGGATCGACCTTCCGGTCTATAGCTGGCGTAGCCTTTGACTCAGGGTCTCGTCTGTACGTCACTGGAGTCGCACCAAATACCAAGCAGATGATGCCATATGAGCGTGAATCTTCATGCCTTATCCATCCCACCGCGCTGGATGCCCTCTTCCAGGCTGCCGTGTTGTCCTGCTCAGATGCCCTGACCAACCACAACGCCAATATTCCCGTGGGAGTAGAGCGTCTTTATCTCTCGACAGACTTCTCCTTGCAGGCTGGTGACCGATATGATGTGCATGTGGAGACACGCAATGAGAACGGCGTGTCACTTTCCGAGTCGATCGCCTCGGACCCATCCTGGCAGCAGCCTGGAGTGGTTCTGCAAGGGGTGCTATTAGGTCGCGTGCCTACGCGGTCCGGTAACTCGACCAAAGAGGAAATCCAGCAAAGCCGGTTCTCGACGCTTCGATGGGCTGAGCACGTAGATTCTTTCTCTGGTCCAGAAGTCCGTCTATCCGGTGGACTGAAGAGCTGGATTGGCCGGGTCTGCCACACTCATGGAGATGCTCGCGTCCTGGCGGTGACTACCAAAAGCACGGATCAGGTCTTAGAAGCTCTCGAACCATATGCGCCAAAATGCAGTCATCGACCTCGACTACAGCAGCTCACCATCGTTCTATCTGACCCTGACATTGAGGGATCAACTGACCAGGTCAAGGCCATTCAGGAGTCTCTGGAAGGATGTCAGGTTCTGCCAGTTGCGTCCCTGCAGGATCTAGACACGGAATTGCTGGGAGAAAGTGCCTATGATGCGGTCATTGTTGATCATCCGAATGTCTGGAGAGGTGATACTGCCAAGGCCCTGCTCGACTCTTTGCTTCCTATTACTGGACCGGAATCTTGGATTGTCGCT